AAGGCAATTCAAGATTGGAGATTGGGTACTGCGCAAAGTAATGGGAAACACTCTGGTACCTGGAGATGGCAAGTTAGGGCCTAATTGGGAAGGACTATACAAAGTGGTTGACCTAGCAGGAAAATGGGCATATCACTTAGAAGATGGAGACAGTAAGGCTGTTCCCAGGCCATGGAACACTGCCAATCTCAAACTATTTTATTTTTAGTTTTTCATTAAAGTACTTGTAATTTTTTTTTTTTCAATAAAACAAGTAGTTCCCTTTTCAACACAATTCTTTTCTTCTGTAAAAGTTATTTTGGTGAGCTAGGGGCAATGAAAGCAAAGTTGGCCGGAATAACCAACACTTGGCTCTAGGTTGGCAAGAATAACCAACTTTGAGCTCTCTTCAGCCGAGATCAGGATCTAAGCTGAAGAAGTTTGGCAGGAATAACCAAACACTTGGCCCTAGGTTGGCAGGAAAAATCAACTTTGAGCCCTCTTCAACCGAGATCAGGATCCAGGCTGAAGAAGTTTGGCAGGAATAACCAAACACTTGGCTCTACGTTGGCAGGAATAACCAACTTTGAGCTCTCTTCAGCGTAGATCAGGATCTAGGCTGAAGAGGTTGGCAGGAATAACCAACATTTATTTCTCTTCAGCCAAGATAAAGATCTAGGCTGAAGAGGTTGGCTGGAAAAACCAACACTTATCTCTCTTTAGCCGAGATCAGGATTTAGGCTAAAGAGGTTGGCTGGAAAAATCAACATTTATCTTTCTTCGGCCGAGATCAGGATCTAGGCTGAAGAGAGTTGGCAGGTGTAACCAAACAGATTACAAGGTTCCAAGACCGAGATAAGTATCTCAGCCAAAACAGAAAATGCTAAACTTTATACAAATTATAGACGAAAAATAAATGCAGGTATGGAATAAACCGAGCAAAAGAATTAGATTTCATTTAAGATCCAAAACAATGTTACAAGAAGAGGGACTTTATCCCGGTTACAAATTCTTTCCAAAAGTAAAAAGAAGAAATTACAGGATCAAGCAAAAAGGTCATCCAAATCGGCATCCATGTCAACCCGAGCTTCACCACTCGGTAGCCCAGTGTTGGCAAGTAGGTCGGTCACTGCCACATCTTCAACCGAAATGGACACCGGTGGATCCACCTGAGCTGACTGGGCGGTTTGGAGACCGGGATCAATGGTAGCAACTGGGGTGTTGTTGGGCTCTGGAGATGCCTCATCTTTCTCCCCCACTTGAAGAAGTTTTTGTTGAATGGCATTGGCGTAGTCCGCCATATAGCTTGGTATGAAGTGAGGAGGAGGGTTCTGAAAGACCTCAGTTTCATGGCCATAACCGAGCTGAGACAAAGCCGTCTTCCATCAGCATTTGAAGAATATGTCCTTTGCAGCTTCGCACTGCAGGATGTAGGTGGCTTCCCTGTCTTTATAGCTGCGGTCCTCAACGTCTTCTGCGCTCTTCTTCAGCTCGGCTATTTCTGTGTCTTTCTTTTTCTCGAGCTTGACTAGCTCGCGCAGATATTTGTCTTCCGTTCGGCCAAAGCCTTCTGCTTGTCCGCTTCCGCCGATTTGACCAGCTCAGTAAGATAGGCGATTTCGGTCTGTAGCTCGGTGGTCTTTCGTTGGGCTTCTTCTAGTTCGACCGTCTTAGCGTTGGCCTCGGCCACGGCCAGCCGTGTTGTCTTACGCAGCTCTAACACGCGCTTGTGAGCAACGTGATTCTTTTGCATGGCCTACAAGAGGAGAGAGGACAAGTATTATTAAAACCGCGCAAATAGATGTACAAATTAGAAAGACAAGCAAAGGGAGAACTTACCAGCACCATCGATTTTGTTGCCAAGCGAATGGCCTTCAGCTCGGTGAGATGGTCGTGGTGCTCCATATCGGCTGGCAGGCATACGCTCTTGGCGAGGTTGAAAGCCATAGAATGGTCTTTTTCTACGACCACTAAGTCAGTGTTGGTAATAGCTCGATTCTTGAAACTCATCTTTGGTGCCCATTTTGAAGGGCTAGCCCAGTCTGAACGCACTGGTTCTGGGCTCGGCCGGGTGGATTGAGGAAGCACGGTGTCATCTTCATCAATAAGTTGTTGTGGTTCGGTTGTAGATGTGCAAGTACGCTTGCTCGGCCGGGATGATGAGGCCCGGGCCGTTGGAAAGGCCACCACTGCCTCATTTGTTTGGCCGGCTTGTGGTACCTCGACTGGAGTAACTGTTTCGGTGATCAAGGCTCGGACAGCACGATGCTTTGCCATTTCTTGTTCTTTGGTTAAAGGAACGAGGTTGGTTTGGAGAAGAGATGGATCTGGTTCTAGGGAAGGTTCCAGGAGAGAATCTGTCACCCTGGTCTTCCTCCTACTGCTATATTTGTATGTCAATTCAAAATTGAGTAGCTCGGCCCAACCTCTATCACGGTACCAGAGCGCGGCGCGGAGTGCGTCTAAATTGGGGTATTTGTACTGTGACTTTAGATGGTTCAAGTTTGCATAAAGAAAAAGGCAACGGTTAGCACGACGCAAAACTTATAAATAGTAAAGAGTAAAAAACGCACAAGCATGGCCGAAGTATTCATACCGGCTACTCCCTTCTTTCAATTAATATCATAGCCTGGTATTTTGGGCTTCTTGGTCTTCGAAGTTGCCAGAAACCCAGAAGAAGTCATCATCATTGATGTCTTTGTCCGGTGTATTTTTTATTATTTTCTCTCGGCGTCTTCTTATTCTTAAATAGTATACCCAGCCGTCTTCATTCTGGCCAAGCGAGTATTGATGAAATAACTCAGCTAAATCGAGGTTGAGGTCAAGTCGGCGATTTAGCTCGGCGATGCCATTTATTATTCTATATGAATTTGTGGAAAGTTGGGTGAGGCAAAGTCTTGTCTGCCTAAGGAATTCACAAAGAAGAGGCTGCATGGGAAAACGGAGATCGGCCTCTACAATGGAAATGACGGAGAAGAGAACGAAACCTTGTTTTCCCCATAGAGTTATGTCTAGCTCAGCTAATGAAAGGTGGACGTCGTCAGGGATGTTGTAGTCCTTGCGGAATTCGGCGATGGCGCCAGGGGAATTTACTAAAAATCGGTATTTACCCATTTCACTTAAATTATGTATAAATTAGTTCGGAGCCTTAGCTCGGTGTTGAGATGATGTTGGGTATCTCGGTTGAGCATGCAAAGGTGTGCCTGGCCAAACCTAGCAAGTCAGTCTGCAAAGTGAAGATAAAAAGCGTTATGCCCAGACAACTGCATCAGGCTAAGTAAGAAGGATAAGCAAATGATAAAAACTCTAGACCGGCTAAGTACGTTGCAACCTTTAGCTCGGTCATAGTGCGAGTTTTTAGCCCGATCATTGAGCATTAAGGGCCCTAGCCCGGTCAGGGCACAAGTTTTTAGCTTGGTTATTGAGTTAGGTTTCCTAGTCCAGTTGGAGCGAAGGACTTTAGCTCGGCTAAACGAAACGGAAGGTTCTTAGACCGATTAAAACTTAAGGTGTGGCGTGAAGTTTTAGTTCGGTTATTGGGGGAGTTATCTAGTTCGGCTGGGTGCACACCTAAATACAAACAGGTTCCTAGTTCGGTTGAAGTATTATTTTGGATCAAATGCGTCATTTTTCAGATTGTTTGTGAATCTAGTGGATCTATTACATGGTTTTTGGAACAAAGTGATTATTTCCCATTAAAATGAAAACTATAATAGTGTGTTTTGAGAAACATACGAATATTATACTACATACTGCAAGACTATACAAACAAAAAGAAAATGAGATTAAGTTACTTACAGTTTGAAGGCAGGAGGACGCAGATCAAAGCCGCAAGAATGGCAGGGAGAACACAAGCTTTGCAAGGACTATGGTGGTGAAAATGGAGGCTCAGAGGGCAAGAAAGAGAAAATGAATAGTAGAGTGACTAGTTCAGAAGCTAGGGTTTTCGTATAAAGCACAGGTTTTGGGCGGGACTGTTCAAAATTTGCGAGGTACAGAGACGGCTATGACGGTTATACGTGACCAATAAGGGCAGGCCACGTGTTCATGGAAATAAGTAACGATTCAGATATACTTGAGAAATGGAACGGCATACAGAGTAATTGATAAGACGTTTCTTAACCAGGCAAACCGGTAGTCCAGTAAGCGTGAGCTCGGTCGGTTTTGGGCCTTTAGCTCGGCTGGTAACAGGTAATCCCAAATCATGCATGGCAGATGAAATTAAGGGGTAATTGAGAGGGAGTTTTTATTTGCATTAGGGCCGAGCTAGGCCTAGGCATAGTAATGCGCCGATCTATAGGCCGTGGTAAAAAGGGCTTAGCAAAGTGGACCATTGCTGTTAGCTCGGTCCAAGTATGGTTACAATCACCACGGTCGTAGTGGTGATAATTAGCTCAGTCATAGTATTCGGGGCCGATGTGCTTGGGCTTCTTAAGGTAGACCTTGCCCTTGTTAGCTCAGTCAAAACTTGCTGCAGTTAGCTCGGTCTAAACAGACAAAACCAAGGTACAAGTGAAACAAGAGCCGAGCTATGTCATACAATTGGGAAGGCGCTAGATTAAGTATGACAAAGGGCTAGTGTTAGCTCGGTCATACTGTTGTCTAACCGTGGTAAAACCATCTCACTTGGTTTAAGCAGTGAGGGAGTGTTGAAGAATAAGCATTATCTTTCAGGAATGTGATTCCTAGAAGGACTCTACATTGAGGAATAAGAGTCCTATTAGGATTGTGCTAGGCAAAAGCTATAAAAACTCTCAATAGAATCTATGTATAGGTAACACAACTTTGATTTTCAGAATACACAGAGCTTTTGTCTATTTTGCTGACTTAGGCATTAGAGAGGTATCTAGCACACACCCGCCGACTAGCTCACGTTTGTGTTTTCAGGGAATAAAGCGATGATGTTTGGAGGGGCACAAACTTAATCAACAGAATTATACGAGAACATTATTGATCATCGTATTGTAGCAGCAAAAATAGAAACTCAAGAGGCCATTGCAAAGGCAAGAAACAGTCAGAATTTTTTTTTTTTTTTTTTTCAAACATTCCAATTACAAAATAACAACTAGCTATGTACCAAACGTACTCCTCACTGGAATGATTATAATCGTGCCTTTACAGAAACAATTTCAGATATAGAAGACCAAATCCCTAATACCCCAATAACAGTGCCTAGAATAACTATCCCAATGTCCAAACATGCCCCTTTCCTATCCATTTCGTCTTTGAAGACTAGATAATGAAACAGAGCAGGCAATACAAAACCCAGTGCACAGCAAACGCTGCTTCCAACCAATGACAAGAAATCAGTAAAATTGGGTACAAACAGAGCCACCATGATAACCACCGTAACCAACACCCATCTCATCCACAAGCAGTACTTGCCATTACTTAACCTCCTCTCCACCACCTCATAGACAGGGTGCATCATCAATGGGAATGTGAAGAACAAATTTATACACAAACCCAATTGAACCAAAGCACTCAGCAACCCAGTTCCCATGTTGGCCGTGATTATATCTCTCGTGTTCTGGCCGAATGCAAAGTAACCCAGAGCTCCAAACAACCCATAGGTGGAGGCAATGAACGCCATTGTGATGCCTAAGATTTTCCCAAATTTGTTCTTGTCTTTGGCTTCTGATTCGAGCGGTAAAACCATCCCAACCCCTTCGAATGAGTAGACGGCCACGCCCAAACCGTAAAAGAAAGCAGAGAGACTCCCAAAGGGCTCGACAATGGGTCTATGTTTCATAAAAGTGGAGAAATTCTCAGCGATCACGATACCCATTGCCCCAACATCAACAATGTCAGCAAATATACTGAGAGGAGCCAAAAGGGTGAGAGTTGGGATCGCATTTAAACCCAATTGGAATGGCAAAGAACCCCAAATGTAGAAGCTTTTGGCGGAAATTCCCAATATTTTGGAGGGTAGACGTAGATTAGTAAGGGGGGATGAATTGAAGAGATTGGCTAAGGTGTTGGCGATAAAAATGAGGTAGCCGATGCAAAAGCCAGCTTGGGTGAGGATGATCATGGAGTCGACGGCCAACCTGCCGAGAGAGCCACAAACGGCGTAGCCAAGATCGCCGAAGGAGTTGATCTTGGTAGAGTCGTTGTTGTTGTTGTTGTTGGAGTCGAGCTTTTTACGGATGCGGACGAGGAGCATCATGCAATGGTAGGTGAGGGCGGCGACGGAGAAGATCATGAGGAGGGAGGTGAGCCAGCCGGTCTTCATGAAGGTGTAGGGGAGGCCGAGGACGCCGGCTCCGACGACGGCGATGAAGAGATTGGCGAAGACCTTGGGTTGGGAGGAGAGAGAATTGTTGTTGTTGTTGTTGTTGTTGGAACCAATAAGTAATGGGGTGTCCTCTCTAGGGAGAGATGATGACGATGATGATGATGATGATCGGTGGCCATCAGAGGAGGAGGAGCTCGACTTTCTGCCCAACCCCATAATGGCCTCCCCTTAATCTGATCGGATCTGATCTGACCTGACCTGACCTGGTCTGATATTCCAAAGAGAAACATCAATTTGCATAAAAGGGAGGAGGAGAGAAATGCGTAGAGACTGGTAATGTATGTGTGTATGTTAGGGAGACAAATGGGAGGCTCGGTGGTGAGCGCAGGTTCGGTTTGTTAGGTACTCCCACCGAATATCACGTCTTATTCTCGTTTCTTTAGGGAGGGAGAGTGCTTCTGGCGCCAAAATAAATCTCACATGTTTTCCACTTAACTAACGAGAATTACACCCCACATTGTGTCACTAAAATTTATTTATCCGAAAATAACAAACATTATAATTTTTTTTATTAATTTATATTTTTCTTTCACTGATTCATCTCTCAAGTAATTGTTCCGTTAATTAATAAAGACGGTGAATGTTAATTGCATCTCTAATCCTTCCAATTTTTTATTTTTTTTTTAAATTCAAATTTAATAAAACTATCTCAAATATTTTTATTAAATGTTTATCAAATTAAGAGAGAGTTATTATTATTATTATTATTTTTTTTTTTAAAAAGAGAGAGAAACAAGAGATGAGCGAGAGATAGACAAAAAGAGAGAGAAATAAAACGAAAAGAGATGAGCAAGAGAGAGACACAGAAAAAGAGAGAGACAAAGAGATAAGAGAAATAAGCGAGAAAAATAGAAAGAGAGAGAGAAAAAAAAGAAATGAGAGAGATAGAGAGAATAGAGATGAGCGGGAGAAAACAGATGTGAGAGATAGAGAGAAGAGAGATAGACGAGAGACACAGAGAGAAAATGAGAGAGAGAAACAGACAGACAGAGAAAAAAGAGTGATGAGTGAAAACGATAAAGATAAGAGATAGAGATAGAGACAGAGAGACAAGAAGATGAAAAAATGAATGAAAAGAGTAATGTTATATCAAAAGAGTAAGACGATATTGTTTTTTTTTTAATTTTTTTTGCGACAGAAAAATACCGTTGAATTTATTCAAACCATTTTGTGACTGTATATATATGAAGCTATCTCAAAACCACAATCACTATGCTAGGTTAGAGTTTTCCAAAAACTCTTTTGAGAAAATTAAACTTTCTTGTTTTCCGTGTTATATTGTTTTTACTGAATTTTTTTAATATTTTAAGTATTTTTTTAAATTTTTAGACACACCTAACATAAATGCACCTAAAAATTTAAAAATTTGTAAAAAAAATCTTTTAAAAATTCACTAAATACCAAAAATACAAAAAAAAATACAATAATTCAATACCGTCGCAAATGCTCTCATTTTTTGAGACGGCAAATAGTGCCGTCGCAAATGCTCTGCTTTTTTGAGACGGCAAATGATGCCGTCGCAAATACTTTGCTTTTTTGAGACGGCATTTTCTGCCATCACAAAAAGTGACTTTTTAAGACGGCAAGTGTGCCGTCGCAAATAGTTCCGTCTCATATACCCAGTTTTCTTGTAGTGAATGGGAAAAAGAAATTACTAGTAAAGATGATAGAATTATTCTCTAATTTGCTAGAATTCACGTTGGTAGAGCTCGACATTTCAATCACATTGCCTCCCTCTTGGAGATTTTTAATATAATCATTGTCGATTTTCTTTATTGCTTCTCTCATTTGGTTAATAAAATCACAATCCTCGTTTTCATTACAATTTATGAATGGTACAAATGTAGCAAAACAACTCAAATTATCAAAATAAGAATGATAAATTGGGAGAAGTAATATTGTTGATTTTTTCAAAAATAATAATGTTTGAGAATTCTAATTTGAGAGCTCTAATGGTGGTGGTCCCATATGGTGATATGATGTTTTGGCTTATGTACTTTTTTTTTTAGTTTGTCACATTACTAGAACTCATATTAAAATTGTAATTTTAGAACTCTCTACCACTGTCCTTTCAAAAAAAACTACCTCCAAGACTATTATTAATTTTGGTCATAAAAATATTGTGGGAATCTTGATGCACATCACATGGATTGGGATTTTATTATTATTATTATTTTGGTTTGCTTGTTTGTGTGTGCATGGGTTGGGATTGAAGGGCACACTTTCATTTGTTTCGTTTGCAATTTAAATTAAATTCCTCATTTTGATTTCTTAGTTTTTTAATTATAATAATTAATCTTTTACATTTTCAATCAACTTATATTATGTTCTTTTTGTTAGTTTAGTGTTAAAATTATTTAAAAAAATTATCATATAACCCCCACATATGACATTTTAAAGGCAAAATGTAATTTCTTTTTTAATAATTTTTTAATAATTATCATATAACCCCCACATATGACATTTTAAAGGCAAAATGTAATTTCTTTTATACTTCTTTTATAATTTTTTTTAATAATAATTTCTTTTTTATTTTCTAAATTTACGGCCATAGGCTACCCATTCCCTAATGGGGTTAGAAATATAAAAGGGAGAAAAAATATAGTGAAAAAATAAAAAAGTAAGTTAAAATGAAATAAGATTACTTTTTTTTTAATAAAAAAAATATCTCATATGAGTCTCATATGACGATTTCCGTTAACAGAAGAACCCTAGGCGGTGTTTGGGAACAAATTTTTTGGATTTTTTTTTGTTTTTTTAACAAAAAGACAGGAAGGTTACAAAATTAAAAAAAATAAATCCAAATAAAATATTATATCAAATCCCATAATCATTTCATTTTTTCTTTCACAAATATCACATCCAACCACAAAAAAACCTAACTATCTTCCCAAACACAAAAAAAAATTTCTCTAATAATATTCTACAACTAAAAAAACCTACATAAAAACTCACTTTCCAAACATCCAAGTGTTTTTAGTTGGGTTTGTATGTAGGTTTTTTTAGTTATAGGATATTATTGGAGAAATTTTTTTTGACATTTAGGAAAATAGTTGGGTTTTTTTTATGATTGGATATGATGTTTGTAAGAAAAAAAGTGAAATGATTATGAGATTTGATGTGATATTTTGTTTGGATTTATTTTTTTTTAATTTTGTAAAAATTTTGTCTTTTAATCAAAAAAATTTAAAAAAAAAACCCACAAAAAATTGTTGCCAAACACCGCCTATATCTGGACAAAATTGTAATAAATTGACTAGCAAAATTTTATTAAAAATAAGGGAGCAAAACTTTCCTCATTTTTAAGTCCATGTGAACCCCATGAGATTTGGGGATTCCCTTTCATTAAAAAATGGCGGGAACATTGATGCACATCACATGAGTTGGAATTGAAGGGCGCACCTGCATTAAAAAAAAACGGTGGAATCGTGCTGCACATCACATTTTTTATTTATTTTATTTTTTTGTTTTTTATTATTCAAGTCAAAATAAGGCAAGTAGTTTAAGCCTTGATTTAGTTTTCATCTTTGACTATATAATTATAAAAATATAAAAAAAATTAAAAAATCACAAAAAAGTAAAAAATTACAAAAGTATAAAACTATCTCATATACAAATAAAAAGTTAAAAAAGCATCATTTTATATTAAGAGCAATTTTGTTATTCCAAAATCAAAAAATCAAAAAAGCCAAACAAGAATACCAAATAACTAAAAAAGTCTCAGACTAAAAAAGTCAAAAAAATCAAAAAGTCAACTAAAAAAATCATTGTCAAACGACCCCTAAGGCCATGTTTGTTTGGGTGGACATGAGCTTGGGATTGGACTAATAGTCCAATAAAATTATTAATCCGATGTTTGGTTAAACAATTGAAGTACGGACTAATTATTTTTCTTTCACAAATATTTATTTTTTAGATACATCTAAGGTGTATAAAAAAGTTTTTTAAAAAAATGCCCAAAATTTTAAAAAAATTCATTAAAAAAATAAAAACTCAATTTTTAAAAAACTTAATTCAGAAAATTGAAACCAAATGATTTTGTTTTCAAAACATTCTGAATTTGATTCTTTCACAATATATGTATTTGTTTGAATCCAAATTTAAGTGTCAAAAAAATTAAAATTAGAAACCAAAAATAAGCATAGAGATGGGGGAATAATTACATTAGACTGGTTGCCATTACAAAGTCGAAGCTCTATTCTTCTTCACCAACAGAAAATGAAAATCAAACTTGAGAGGGAATAAAAATAATTATGTGGGTAAGTATAAATTATCATGAATATGACAGTTATCAAATTCTTATCAAATTCTGTGGGCCCTGATACAAGAATTACAGTTATCAAATTCTTATCAAACATTGTATTAGTGTTTTATATTGTGTAAAATTTATCAATATAAAAGTCCTCAATAATCAAAGATTGTTTGGGATAGGACTTGTGAAACATTCAAACTACTTGTTAAGTAAGTCATTACATATTATAAATAGGCAACATGAGTTAAGGTACGCATTTTCTCTTTATGAATTAATTCATTAAATATTTTGATAATATTATAGGACGAATTTGGACATCAGAGGACCCCGGCTACGGCTGTGAGTTTTTTGCCTCGCAGATGGTGATCACATGATGGCTCTCATCAATTTCTTCATTGAATTTTTTTATCAATAAATCCGGTATTTATTTTTTATGGCCGTACAAAACTCTTGTATAATTTCTTGTTCAGTTAGCGTGAAGGAAAGTTGATTTTGATGCCATTATTATGTACAACACAATCACTCTATTTAGACCTTGACTAACTAACCAGCTCAGTGCGGCTCCCCAATCAATGCTTAAAAGAAATTTTAAAACCAACTCCCTCAATCGGTGATTATTTAACAAAAATGTTAGAAAGTTTAAAGATTTTATTAAATGTTTTATATGGATACGAGATTTACATGAGATTTATATTGTGTAAGTCTTAAATTTATATTTATGTGAGATATTTAGTAAAATTTTTAATAAAATATTTGAGGTTTTTAGGATTACTTATATTTAGTAGGGAAAAATGTTTAATGTTTGGGGACCATAAAGGTGGACTTATGATTATTATTGATGTATTTGAATTTTTTTTGAGATTATGTCTGACAATGATATGAATAGTTCAGATCATTTTAAGAGTTATGAGAGTTGTATTTTGTGGGATCTCTATCATTATTGGGTTATTTGGGATAATCTAAATAAATGTACCTTTTGATTTTTTATGAAATATGAGTTGAGTTTGGATTGGGTTTGAAGTGATGTGTTAGAGAGATGGTGTGACTTAAATAAGATGGTGTGACTTAAATAAGATAGTAACTTTTTGACTTTTTTTTTCAAGTATACCAAACAAAGTCTCAGTAGTCTGGTAGTAGATTATGTGACATTTTTTGATAATATGATTGATGAAAAAAATGAAATATTAATTATTTAAGTTAGCTGATTGAACAAAGGATATAATGAATGGGCTCACCCACTCACTCAGTTGTGAAAATTCAATGCTCAGACTTGGGAAAGTCGGCAATCACACCAAAAGCCACAATAATCAGGGTTAGATTAGAAGAGGTGACTACCATACAATAACGTGTCTTGATTGACTTGGTCGAATTGAATTCCACACTCCACAACAGAGTTCGAAATCAAAAATAGGAATTGCTCCATTGTCGAAGCTCCATTGTTAAAAAGGGGTAAAATGCTTTGATTCTTATCCTTTTTAGGTAGTTTGATTTGAATCCCTAATATATATATATATATATAATACATGTTATGTTTGTGAACATTGTGCTCAATATGTACATGTAATAATGTGTATCTGTATGAGGAACTGGACATTCTATTCTATGCTGTATTTGCAATGTTTGTTCCTCCTTTGTTTAATCTGATGTAGATTCAGAGCAGTGAATTCTTTTATGCATATTATTGCAAGCAAAATATGATAAATCCATCTACATGGTATTTGATGAGAATAATCAAAAATCATAATTCATCTGTTTGAAATGCTTAGTGATTGCTTTATGTTCCCTTTGCCTGGCAATGTCTAGGTGTCTTGGAATCTGTTATTCAGAGAAGTTAATCACTTCCAGATGTGCCAGTTGTACAATCCCTCCTTACCTGTAATTTATTTGATCATAACAGGTGTAATCAGAAAATCATTATACAAGCCAAACACGATTAATAATGGATCAGATTAGCATTCAAAAAGGAAGAATTGTGACACTAGAAGAAGGTATGGTATATTTCTGGTTGCTATATTACTCTCTCTCTCTCTCTCTCTCTCTGTGATTTTATCTGTTGCTTCCATTCAAAGGAAGCAGCTAGAGCAAAGGCCATATAAATCTTATCCTAAGTGAGCATGTTGTGATATCTTTTGATCAAATCAAACATGTGTACAAAGATGTTAATAATAATAAGTGATGCACAAGGTAGAGATCCACTATTCGGCTCACACACAGTATCTTTCCACCATGTGGAGGCTTAATTTATATTTATAATTTTATAAATTAAAGTCTTTAGTATTTAATATTTATTTTCTTATTGTTATTAATTTTTCTATTTTATTAAGGTTAACCTATATATAATAGGCTTTGGTATTATATTAGGCAGCCTTCAATTAATGAAATTGACCGTTGTTTAAGGTTGCGGCCTTTGTGTGATTAGGATTGCGGCCCTTGCATGCTTCTCTTCCTGATTCTCTCTCCTATTCTTTCTCTCTGTTCTAATGCACGGAGAAGTTTAAGTGTCACTATCCCAACCCATCCTAAACAAGATGGCGTTGTGACCGGCCAGTAGTCATAGACTATCAAGGGCCTAACTTTCAAAACAAGTTGGAGTCTTAGGATAATTGGGGCAAATTTTTTATATTTTTTAGTACGGAAGCCATTATTTGCTTATATTGAGTCCATTCGAAGCATCCACTCAGAGCAGTGCATAACTACATGAAATGAAAGCATTCATTCCTCTTGGATTGTTATCTTACATTATTACATGGTCTAAACGACAAGGTAAAATAAACACATATGACAAGGCTTTACAAATCTAGCACAACCATACAAGACCAGTTTCTATTCAAACTTCTCTTCATAATCCAACTCTTCATCACCTACATATATTTAAGAGAGAGGGGTGAGCCATTGCCCAGTGAATAATATTACAATTCAGTGGTAAATAAATGAATTCCAATCTCATTGGCAAAGCATAATATCATATCATATTTTCAAAAGCATTCGAACATTTCTCATCATAATATTTCATAATCAAACATGATAGCATGGTACATCCATTAGGGCGAAGCGAAGGAATAACCGGTTTGATCACCGATTAAACAACCCACTCTCAGGTGGCGAAGGAGATCTCAATAACGGCCATGGTATATTTAACTGTCCCCCAATAGTTAGGACTATCTAAAGGATGCCACAGTAGATTTATCAAAATATAGGATATTCATTCATTCGGAAACAAAATAAGGATTTCACAAAATATGATATATCATCGAGTTTTCAAAACAATTTTCAAACATAACTTTACAATAATATTACTCACAAATGGCTTGCGAACAATGAGGTTTTCCCTTCTCAGAGTGCTTGACCTACACAAAGCATAAGCAAGACGTTGAAAGCACTTAAACTAGCAAGCTTCTAAATTCATTTCAGGTGTTCAAACTTAACTTTGTGTTTCTTAATATTTTCTTAGATTATCCAAGACTTTTCTAAGCCTAATTCAAATCTAAATCAAGTGTCAAACATGTATCAAATGCATCTAGGTGATTAAGGCCTGAAGAATGTTGAAGTGTGTCAAAGACGTAAGGTTTAAGGAAATAGGAAGAAATGAAAAGAACTAAGTTATGAGAGGAATTAGCATGAAATGGTTAGGAAGAAAGTAAGCAGCCTTCACTAATTTAAACATATCTTTTTGTATATTTAGAATTTGGATGTGAGACCACCACCATTGGAAACTAGACTTCCGGGACTTGAATTTAGAATCAAGAATCGCGTAAAACCTAGTCCGGATGAGAGATATACCCATTTGAAGTTGCACTGAAACAGAGGTTCTGCACGTGCAGGACAAGGTGCGGGAAGGTTGGGGCACGTGCGCGAAATCTGGCCGCATGTGTGGTTATTTCAGAATGCAAAAATGGGTTCTGGAGGGTTGGGCCGCATGTGCGGGAAACTATGAAGCACGGGTACTCCAAAAGTAGTGCCGTACGAGTACCGGGTACTTACCGACCCATTTGAAGTTGCACTGAAACAGAGGTTCTGCACGTGCAGGACAAGGTGCGGGAAGGTTGGGGCACGTGCGCGAAATCTGGCCGCATGTGTGGTTATTTCAGAATGCAAAAATGGGTTCTGGAGGGTTGGGCCGCATGTGCGGGAAATCTAGGGCACGTGCAGCAAATTCTTGGTTGGACGGGCTGAAGCTGTTCTTCATGTTTTTGAGGTTCCTAACTCCAATTTCTTCACCTTAAAGCCTCAAAACATGATGTATAATGTTCCAAAACATGAAAGTATGATACAAGATTCATGAAAACTCATTTGTATGCAAGCATTTCAAGATTAAACTAACAAAAAAATAATATTTTATTCAAGAGCTCTTTAATTTTTTTTCTCTCTTCCACTTTCTTTCATTTCTTTATTTTCATTCCTTTAAAACAAGATTTTAAGGCTTCAAAACATGAATAAATGATGTGGGTTTTGTAGGAAAACATTCATATGCAATGAATTTAAAGTTTAAACCAATCAAAATGTGATTTTCTTGCAAATTTTTTGAACCCTTCCTATTTCTCAAACTCTTTCCTATCTTCCTCAATTTCAATCTCTCAAAACTTAGTTTAGATGATCTTCTAGCTAGATTATAGCAACAATACAAGAAAGAGGGTTGAATTTCTTACCTATTAATAATTTTCCTTGAATTTCTAGGCGTCAAATTGAAGCTCCTTTGATTTTTCTTCTATTTCCTCTCTTTTTCCCTTGTTTTTTTCTTCTCCTTTCGTCTCCTTTGTTCTTCTTTCTTCTCCTTTTGTTTTGACTCCACAGATTTTCTTCTTCTAAAAGTTAAATAATACAAAAAGGAAGGTGTTTGTTTGCTTCACCTATGTGTATGCTTCACCAAATCCTAATTTATTTGCTTAGTTTAGCTTAGCTCAATCAAGTTTACCTTAAGTATTTTACTAATTGTCCCATTAGCTTAATTAACCAAGCTTTAGTCCTAACCAATCATGCTTACTCTTTAATCCTTATTAGCCTAAATAAACTCTAGAGCTCTCTCTCTCTCTCTTTCTATATTCTTCTCTTTTGTTTTGTAGGAAATGTTGAGGTGTGTGTTTGCATCACAAAGGATTAATTAGCTTAGTCAATCCATCTTAGTTATAATTAATCAAGGTTAATCTCTAATTAATCAAGGCTTAACTTAATTACGATTACAGTTAATCTCTAATTAATCGTGCTTAGCTTAATTACGATTACGGTTTACTAATTCTACTTAATTAGCACTAATCCCAATTAGTAAGAACAATATAGCATCAAAATGGCATGCATATTAGTCTAAGATCTTTAAGCTCCTTGATTAGTGAATAGGGAAACTCAAAATTTACTAAATTCAACCTAGAAGTCCTTCCCTAACTCTCAATACAAGACATAAGGATTTCTATGTTCGAAGCTCTATATTAACATATACTTTCAAACTCATTCTTAAGTATATGCCTTGGTTTGTCTTCTCAAGGCATGTTTCTCACTTTTAATTCTTGTGCAGTCTTAATTCAAGTAGGCATATAACATAAGGCAGGGCTTAGGGTATTCAAGGATGAATAATAATATGGTTATAGCACGTGACATTCGTTGGGGTGTCACGTTAAGTTTAAAACTCTCCGTTAATTCTACAATCTTCCTCTGCACATTTTTTCTTTAACTGATGTGTATGCTTGTGCATTTTTGTTTGTAATTTGATAGTTATAATGTTATCATGTTGCAGGGAATGGCCTTGAAAAAATAATAGACAAAGTACAGGTTTGGATGGAGTGGAGGTTTTTTCAATTTAATTCTTCTATTTTATTTATTTATTTTTCTGTTTTAAAGTCATCACATCTGCATCCCTCTTTTCTGAATTATTAGGCTCCAGTTGCGGCAGTTGTGGTTATGGCTTGCAACCGTGCTAATTATCTTGAAAGGGCTCTCAAATCTATTCTGAAGTTTGCTTAATATTTGTGAGCATTTTCTAGTGCTCCTGATTAATTTGCTCATATTTCAACTAACTCACCGTTACAAAATTCTTCATATTCTCCAGACATCAAAGTTCTGTTCCTTCAAAGTATCCCCTTTTTGTATCCCAGGTACTTTTTTAAGTAGGGATTCTAGTCAACACAAGTTTAGATATGTTTGATTGGTAATGAGAGATCAGGAAGAACAAGACAGCTAAAGCTAGTAAATTTCTGTAGGATGCAGAAGATCCTGATGTCAAAAGTAAGGCTTTGTGCTACAATCAGCTAACCTACATGCAGGTAAATTATTTTAATTCTCTAGCGAGGAATGCTGATGACAAGGAGTATGGTTCAGCAAATTTTCATCAACTCATACATTTGTCAATTAATTTTATGCCATGGAAAGCTCCTTTCAAAAAACATATAAATCTTGTGTTAGAGATGCCATATGTTTTCATGACATAATTTCTACCCTTTTGTGAGACTTTTTGTTAATATGTCTAGCTTAAACACTAACTTCAGTTGGTTGCAGCACTTGGATCATGAACCAGTGCACACAGAGAGGCCCGAGGAAATGATTGTATACTACAAGATTGCACGTAAGGATTTATCTTTTTCGTCACTTGCTAAAAAAAGAAAAAAAGGGGGTCCCCTTTAAGGCATCATTGTTGAATGTCTTTTAATGCTGGTGTTTTCTAGGTCATTACAAATGGGCACTGGATCAATTGTTTTATAAACATAACTTTAGTCGAGTTATCATACTTGAAGGCGCAACAATCTTGCTTTGTGCTGCCTTTTTTACTTTCTCTCTCCTTTATTTTTATTTTTATCTTTCAATGAAAATGTTAAGCAATTTGCTGAAAATAAATTTCCATGGAATACAGATGATATGGAAATTTCCCCTGATTTCTTCGACTATTTTGAGGCTGCAGTTGCACTCCTTGAAAGTGATAAGTGAGTCCTATTATGCAGTACATTTTGTTATTTGAAGTTCAAGATCAGAGTCTGCAACCTCTAACTATCTTTTTGCTTTTGTTTGTATGAATCCAAAATAGGTCCATTATGGCTGTTTCTTCATGGAATGACAATGGACAAAAACAGTTTGTGCAGGATCCTTGTAAGTTCATTTGGTGCTTGGATCGGTAAGTAATTATTCTTCTAGAACTAAATGTAAAGCTAACTGATAAACCTGCATAGAGGTTACAGTTATTAGTCATTTTGCAGTGACTCAAAGGAGTTTTTGTCCCCTAGGGACTTCTCAGTGGCTTAGGTCGCATTCCCCCCATAGATTCCAGTTCAAGTCTCCTCAACTGACCTATTAAAAAAAAAAAGTTTACTTTGGAGATTTTTGCTTCCAAGGTTCTTGTGAAGGCATTATAACTTTCATGTTTGGATTGAAATTAGTTTACTTAATTCTAGCAGGCAAATGAATGTTGCATCGTATAAAGATTATTCTTTAAATCAGAAATCTTGAGAAACTGTTCTCTTATCAGCTTTATGATACACTTTGCAGACATGCTTTACCGTTCAGATTTTTTCCCTGGATTGGGGTGGATGCTGGCTAAATCTACGTGGGATGAACTCTCTCCAAAGTGGACAAAAGCATATCCTTGTGGTGTATTGAGTCATAGTTTGTTGTTCATACTTTCATATTACTTTATTGCATCTCTTTTGAACATTTTCTTTGACATAAATTTTCACATATTGGGATGATTGGTTGAGGTTAAAAGAGACTCACAAAGGTCGACAGTTTATCCGTCCAGAAGTGTGCAGAACATATAATTTTGGAGAACATGTATGTACAATGTTCAGAAGTGATTTTTTACTTTGTGAAACAACAATACTCACTCAGAAAACTTAAATATTTTCTTGTTATCATTGCTATAAAATTTGAACCATGTCATTGCTCAAGATATTGTTCTAAATGTATGTTGTTTTGAAATTTGGCACCGGGATAAAAATTTATTGTTGCAGATTGACTCTTAGTTATTTCTCACACACACGAAGTTACACCATGCATGCACGCACCCACCCACACACACCCTCTGCATACATGCGCTACCTTGCTCACCCATTTCCTGACAAAGTAAACAGATCGTCATATTTCCTCTATAACAATAATCATCTTTAAATAGTTTTGACATTTAACGTTAATTATTATTCACTGTTTCCTACAACTATGGTTTCCTGACAACCTTGCTTATTTTTGTCTTACTCTGATTTCCTTGCAGGGTTCTAGTCTGGGCCAGTATTTTAAACAATATCTTGAGCCAATTAAGTTGAATGGTGTTCAGGCATGTGAGCATTTTTTATTTTATTTTTTTGCTTAGAAAATATGATTTTAGTTTGTGCACAATTCTTGTAGCATCTATGATATTTTACTTTTGCTGAAAGGTTGATTGGAAGTCAATGGATCTGAACTACCTGATGGAGGTATAAGATACATTTGAAAATGGCTGTCTGAGGTGAACTCAGAATTTAGTGTATTTATGCCTAAATTTTTTAACCCCCACTTTTTCAGGACAAGTATGTTAAGCACTTTGCTGACATGGTTAAAAATGCAAGACCTGTCTGTGGAACTGATGATGTTCTGAAGGAATGCAATATAGATTGTGATGTGCGCATTCAGTACAAAGACAAGACAGATTTTGAACACATTGCACGTCAATTTGGCATTTTTGAAGAATGGGAGGTAGTGCAACTTCCAATTCATTTATCTAACAATAGAAACCGGGTGATTTGGTTGATTGATTTTTAGTATGGATTTGAAACACAATTTATTGACACTTGCACACACCTCGTTGGTTCTTAAAAAATGGCTATGGTACCTTTTTTTTAAACTTCATTTTCTTCACTACACAGAAAATCTTAATATTGGGTCAATGTTGTGCTTGACTAATTTCGTAAGACAATATCTGGATATGTGTATTTTGACTTTGTGAATTAAACACCTTTTAATGAAGTTCTTGTTTCGTATTGAACTAACGAAATCAAATAATGTTGAACTTCTCATGCTTTGATACGCTTTCTTGGAGATGCAGAATTATACATTTTTTTAATCATTTAGAGTTTGAAGGCCTATTTCATACATGTACATAATATGCTTGTTCTGATGGTAGTCTTATTGCTTGAAATTGTTTCCCCTTCAAAGAAATCACAACCATTGTTTTGTGTCCTTTCCCAGGATGGCGTGCCAAGAACAGCGTACAAAGGAGTAGTTGTTTTTCGATACCAAAGCCCAAAGCGTGTATTCCTTGTTGGCCCAGAATCTCTCCAACATCTTGGGATTTAACATGCTTGGAAATGATTGAGGTTTAGTGATTGCAAGTCATATGCATTCATAATGCCATCTTAAGTTATTATGTTTTATAGAATCAATTTGGAACAGAGAACTAGAGTATATAAATGTTTTGTGAACTGATATCCATGAAGGTTTCTTTTGTTGACAGATTTAGTAAATAAGTTAATAGTTTTTGAATAAAAAAATTATCCTTAGAATGAAAAAATAAAATAACAACGTTAGTAGTGATTAGTATTTCATTTTTTAAAATATAATTTCAAAATTGAAATTGTATTTTTTATCCCACGACTTCAACAAAAAAAAATTAAATAAAACATACATTGGTAAATTTCTTTAAATACCTTGTATCAGGTAAATAAATTTTAAGGGTAAATTAACAATATCTCCTTACAATTTTCCTAATTACATATTAGCCTCTGTTTTTTATTTAATAATTACATCTTTTACTGTTGGTGAATGAGGGCTATTTCGCAAGTACTTCCCACAAATTATCCCTGTCTTTCATTCCAAAGAACTTTGCTTTTGTTTGCTATTTTTTTTAAGCCTATGTTCCAGTCTAAAGACAGAGGAAGTGACGACATTAAAGGAAACAACATCCAAAAAAAAAAAAAGAAGGATACTTATTTAGAAAAACCATTTACACAAATTGCTTTTGAGAAAATTTCCAAAATAAAAACACAACCCTAATATTATATTCAAATTTGAGATGTACATACACAACAAATTGTGATTGTACAATAATATTACAAATCACTATAACAAAACCATAACTAATCTTTCTTGCTTCTCATGTACAACTTTACACAAGCATCCTCATTGATAATATCGATCAGGCTTTCTGGAAAATCAACCGGCTGCAGAACAGCATCATTAACTCCAAGGTCCATCTTCGCGAGAAAGTCCGCAGCCCGGTTAGATTCACGCCATGAATGAGAAATTTCGAATTGGTCAAACTTGTTCAGAAGTCGCCAAATGTGGTCCAATCCGCTATTAGCCGTTGAATGAAAGCACTGTTGCTCTTTCTTAATTGTTTTGACGACACTCAACGAATCAGACTCGATCCAAATATGTTTAATACCCAGTTTGAACGCATGCATGAGACCTCTCCATATGGCCCATAATTCGACTACGAAGATGTTATGTACATCTTTGGGAGGAAGAACTGAGGAGACATAAGCACAAATGGGAAGGCCATTGTAATCACGTAGAAGACCACCATAACTCGTAGTCCTAACATTATTTCGACCACCACGTATAGATCCGTTAGTGTTTAATTTAATCCAGCCGACTTTTGATTTTTTCCATATACACCATTTTTCTGTTGCAAGAGAGTGTTGAAGAAATTTAAGGATGATCAAAGGTTGCTCATCGTCAGTAGACAGGAACGTAGGGAACCACGGAGGTGGAGGTGGAGGTATTGGTGTCGGCAACGGCAACCACGG